ATCAGGCATGATATTCTGGGCAAAACTGATATAAAAGGTGCAAGCAGCTCTATCAATACTGCGTATTATTGTATCGCTAGCTGTAAATTACAGGTTCAAAATATTCCTCTTCGCCTATCGTAGCGGCTCATGAATATACGCTTTACCCTACTTCTCAAGGACTGAGATCCGGCAATATGGTAGTTACTTCACGAACGGAATGCTGAGGTTGCATAATAGCAACGAGCAAAACATGGGATCAAATAACAAAGCAGCGCATTCTCAATAGTATTCTTATCCGTCAAAACCTGCCATGAACCATAAAACGGTGAAATAACGAGGTAACGGCAATCCAACTTTTGACATAACTTTATACGCACACAAAACAACTCTGTTCAACAGAAACAGAACTGCAACCAGTAAAGATGAAGAGTAACAGTCCAAATTTACTCAACCGAAAGGAAATGAAGTCACTTCACCATATTTTCAACCCTCTGAACCGAAGATGACGACTCAATGGCTGCAGTGAAAAAGATTAAAATGGAAGTTTTACAGGGCTCTTCGTAGATGACACCGAAAACGAAATATACTTCTCACCGATTAGCAAGTTTCGAGAAAATCGCCCATCACGCCATCGTCCTCTGAAGAGAGCATAACATTTACTGATGCTATTCAATCTCTGTGACACTGTTCTGTACTCAAATTACCTAACGTTTTAAACGAATGTGAAGTATGAATAAGTTTCATTAGAAAAAGCTTCTCCTACGGTCAAAAGGGAGTTTATTGACAATTTAATGAAGAGTAATGTATTGCAGCTGTTCTACGCTACTACGCACGTCAACGGCACGGTGACTACCTGTACTCAAAACTCTCTGCGGCTTGCGCTACTTTTGATTCTTCACAAAACTCGTCAGGCGGAAAAGACGTAAGATCATCCAGTGCTTCAGATAAGGGATGCGGCTTAAAAGCCCAGGTTGTGACAAGGTCTTTGTCATTCCTAAATTCATCTTTACGGCTTCATGACAGAGTAAATTATGACTTACGGTAACAAGTGCTGGTAACTTCGAATCATAGCCGTTTCGGGGATATTGTTCAAAATGTACAACCTGAAAAAGTGATGAAAATCGCCGCATCGCTGCGACTGAATTACTACCAGTAGGGATACAGGAATGGTTTATGACGCAATAGCATGGTTTTGACGCCCACCACGTTACTTTCCTGAAACAGA